ACACAACAGTTTTAGTAACCTGGATAGTAATGTAAATTAATGCACAAAACTGTTAGAAACCAGGATACTTATACACAAAACTGTCAATAACCTAAGTAATAACTCATAAAAATGTCAAAAACCAAGATATTAAGACACAAAACTGTTAAAAATCTGCACATTTATGCACAAAAGTGTCCATAACTTGGATAACAATGCACAAAACTATTGAAAACCTACATATTGACACACGAAACTGTCAATAACCTAAATATTAATGCACAAAAGTGTCAAAAACCTCAGCATTAGCACTCAAAACTTAGAAAAAGCTGGTTATTAACGCACAAAAATCTAAAAAACATGCATATTTCTGAACAAAACCACTAAACAATAGCTAAACAAATAACCAATGCCAGATTTTGAGATCATGGTTCACACTCCAGACTCTCTCAGCTGTAACAAGTGTCGTGCAGATTAGACGCCACTTTGCAAATGAGTTTTAAGCAACTCTGGAACATTTCCCTGCATCCCCTGGAAACTGCTGAATTACTCCCCGGGGTGCAGCCGCCTCTGCACGGGAATCCTGGTTTACAGCATCGGAGCAGTTGTGAAATCCGGGGGAAAGACAATGAGCTCTGGTTTGGCGAGAGGCTTTAATTCAATCTACTGAGCCTTGCTGGGGGTCTGGAGGCAAAGCGACTGCCTGAGCGACATAATTACGGCTTTGTCCTCCATCAGAGCTGCTCTCAGCGACGCTGAATAACGCTAGAGATACAGATTTATGTGTCAGACACACGGACAGGCGTATCAGAAACATCTAGACCACCTCCACGTATTCACGCGTTGTCATGGACGCTCAGCATCAGCATCAGATAGCAAACACACACACACACACATGCGCACAAGCCGACAACACCCACATCTTGTGCCGGTGGCAAAAACAAACAAGAGAAGTGGAGGAAAAAAAACAAAAAGTAAGATAATGACTGTGACCCCTCTGGTGAAATGTGGGATTCAGAAACATTTCCCTGATACTGCGCTGCTGTGTTGAGATGAAATACTGCAAAATATCAGCTATAATATACAAACGTTGGTTAATTTTGGGGTTTAAAAGAGTGGAACAGCTTCTAAACACACAGCGACTGAGCATCTGGAACAACATACAAACATTCAAATACCTCAACTTGTAAACGGACACAGAAAAAAAAGTGTTTTAAAAATCTTAAAGAAAGGAAATGAACATCCTTTAAGGGAGATTTTTCTTTTTCTCTGAAGCTCCACAATATCTAATAAATAAATAAATAGCCTGTTAGTTTATACGGTTTTCTCAGTAAGTGAAGGTCAGCGTGTCACTGTTGTAGAAATGTTAAAATTATTTATATTATTTATTTATGATTGTAACTCAAGGAGTGTTTGGCAGTTTTTAAAAAAAGGAAAAAGAACTCGCTAATTATTTGTCTTGTTTATTTATTTAATTTATTATTTAATATATTTTATTTTACATTTTTATTTTGATTATATCCTTGTTTTATGGTTTTAGCCTCGATTGTTTTTTATTCTGTTTGTTTTTTTTCTTCATGTTTTTATTTCTTCATTTTGTCCCGTTTATTATTTATTTGTATCCATAAACGTTTGGTGCATTTATTTATTTCTCCATTTGTTATTTTTCTGATCTTTTTTCTTTCTGTTTGTCCTGAATGACCTTCTGTTATTTGATGGTCTTCGTGAGTACGTTTTTGTCTGAAACGAAAAGTGCTACATAAATAAAGTTATTATAATTTAATGTAATTCAATTTAATTTAATTCAATTTAATAATCTATTTTATTGAATCATCCATTTTCTTTAATTACATTTTGTCCTTTATTGTGATATGGTACTTTTGGTGCTTTTATGATTTTATTTGTAGCCATAGATGTTTTTGTATTGATTTATTTCTCCACTTTTTACTCCTCTGGTCTTTTTTTTTTTTCTGTTTGACCTGATTGACCTTCTCTTGTTTAACAGTCATTCTAATTATCCCCCTATTTGTGCTTAAAAGCTGCTTTATAAATACAGTAAATATTATTATTATTATTATTATTATTATTACTATTATCTTGACCCAAACATAAAATACATCCACAGTTGGCTGATTTTCAGTCTTTAAACACCAATTGAGAGCATCCAGATTTAGAATCTAGGGCTTATTTCTCCCACAGTGTCCATGTTCGCCACCCTGAGATGTTTTGAAAACTCACCTCTGAACTTTCCTAAACTCGGGGTTATTGGGGTTGAGGTTACCAGAGTTCAAACACCACACGGAACAACATCACTTAAATCTCTGCAGACATTCCAACAAGGTCATGCAGTCAACTGACGCAGACGAATGGCCTCGTTTCAGAACACGTGGACAAACATGGTGAAGAAGAAGATGAAGAAGAAGAAAAAGAAGACGAAGAAGAAGAAGAAGAAGGAGGAATACAACGGAGCACGAGAAGCTGCATCTCATGATAACATCCTGTTGCGTGAAATTGGTCAAGCGCAGGAGAAGATAAGTCCTGAAAGTAGGCCGAAGTGACGGAAATATGAGCTATAAATGGAAACAAATCCCATCTTAAATGAATTAAAAAGTTGTGTGATTAGATTAAACTCAGATCGTAGTTCTGATATTTACACTTCAAGTAGATCTGAGTCAAACACTGGCTGCAAATAATTCGTTTTATTCTTGAGAAAATTGATCTAAGGGAAGATATCAATGACACGAACGAAGACTGTTTGTCTCGTTTCATTTTTGTATTTATGCTAAAGGCTCCTGCAGCAGCAACATCTAAAAAACTAGCATCAGCAAAGTTTACTGTCGTCTGGAGCAGCTGTTTCATAAATAAGATGGTCAACGTTATGTTCATGATATCATCTTGTTTTTTAAGCTTTTCATGAATTCTTTGCTCTTTTCTTGGTAAACTGTGGCGCTTCAGGGTGCGACAGCATATTAAAATATAACAATCTTGGATGGAAGCCAAAAAAATATATTCTTTAATTCCAATTTGATCAGAAAAGTTCCCTCCAAACGCTATTACAATCTTATTATCAACGATAGCTAACTATATTAAACACTGATGAAACAGTATGTGATTAATATACTGACAGCATGTTAATAATCTAATATTTCTTTTAGCAAAAACACCATTAACTCTTTCACTTTAGCATCTCAAATGTGAGGAAATGTTTGTTTTCTCAGTTTAATGAAACATTTCTATTCTTTATATTGCATTTTCTGTGTTTTATATGTTCCGTTACATCTAATATCTTTTTTTTTTTTCAACAAACAGCTGATATGGAGACATAAAGTCTGGCTCGGGGGGAAATAATGGACATTTCTCATGATAAAATGACAAACATGTAAATGCAGATGAACTGTAGCATGTCTATGTGAACATGTGCAACAAACAACCAGAGGGAGAAACTCATTAACTCCATGAATCGTCACATTATGCTCTTTGCTGCGTGTCATTAATCCCTGAGGGGCAAATTCTATTTCTGCTCCTCTTGTTTCAGAGGTCAGAGGTCACAGATATCAGATAAACATTATTTCTGGAGGAAGTTCTGCCATTTGCTCAAGGACACTAATTCTCATGTTACCACTGAGTCTTTATTCACATCGTTTGAATAAGACTCCTTCTTCATGACATAAACCCCGCATCGCCCATCCAGCTGCTCACCCTCGTCCTCGTGTCCAGGCGGGAGGCTCCTCTCGCGGATCGTGTAGTTGGCGGAGAATCCCTCCCTGGCGATGGCGTTGTCGGTGGTGATGGTCATGGACAGGATGCCGGTGTAGGAGATGACTCGGCCCGGAGACTTCTGGCCGCAGTACCTGCCGATGTGAGGCCCGACTGGGTGAGGAGAGAGGAGGGGAGGAGGGTGAGTAACAGAGTGTAGCATCAGCTTCATCGCTCAGCGCTCTGATCATTCACTCTGTCCAGGGAGAAGTTTCATGACTTCAAAAAAAAAAAGTCCAATTCAGACTCCCAAAACTTTAATGTGCTTTGCTCAGTTCAATCTCTCACCTCTGAGGCAGGAGTGAAGGCGACAGAAACACTCATTTCCACCACATATTGTTTTGACGCTTGCCGTCCCAACAGCATATAGAAAAACTGTTCAAACACAGGACGGTATCAGGAGCAGCTTCCCTACACGTCATTCTGTCACGTTAACACAACTCTGGACGACACGCAACAGAAGAAGAGACATCCAGTGAGGAAAACAGCATCATGCTGCTTTTTGAAATTGGAAAGAGGAGCTTATTTGATTGAGATGATTAGATGCAGTGTTGTGACAGAAATNCTTTAGATTAACTGATGGTGAAAATAATGTTTAATTGCCGCCCTGCTCTGTGTGCATGCTCGCACATCAACAGATATAAATACACGCTAACCCACGCAGGCACATACTGCAGCTAATGTTGGTGAGGATTCAACTCTAATTTGGTGATTTTCAGTTTTAATCTCTATCAGAAGGATGATGCACTCCTCTGCGGGTTTAGAAAACTCTGCAATCTCTCTGCGTTACGAAACACTTTCAGCACAGCAGCGTTTTGGACGGCTTGTGTGTATCTGTGATGCGGCAGCGTCCACTCTGTAACAGCAGGGGAGCTCAGGGAAGGAAGAGGGCGGCGGGACAAAAGGAAATGTGTGTGTTTGTGTGTGTGGGAGGACTGTCTGGAGACGCAGGGTCTGCCAGGCTGACACAAACACACTGCATTAATCCACAAATAAATTGGGGAGAAAGTTTGCTTGCGAAATTACCCAAAAAGCTGCAGAGAGCTGGATTTTATCTTCACCAGTTTGACAGTTTTCAGGCATAAACCCTCCAACTTTCCCCCAGAAGAGCCCTCTATCCAGAAAATGTTCTGAAACTGCAGCTAGACGATGAGAAAAAAACGCTCACATCGTCCGGCTCAAACACTCCCAGCTACCATCTCCGCAAAACGCATCTTTTCTTATGTCTATTCAACCTCCACGTCTCGCTCACAGCAGGGACAAACATCAACCCCATCCTTCTCCCTCTCCATCTGAAAGGAGAGAGAGGACGTAAAGCGACGCCCCCGCCGACGGTTCAGCTGATCAAAGGCCCTGTTGGAGGCCACCGCTGATGCTGATGGCTGGAAGAGAGCGGCAGAAAACCATGAATTCACTGCAGGATATCACTGTTTGATTGTTCTGTGGCCATTAGTGAAGAGGAGTGAAAATATCTTGCCTGAATGGAGATCCTTTCTTTCTAAGAGCCTGAAGGTTTGGTGTAAAAACAAAATATCTGCATAAATAGAAGATTAAAGGTTGTTTATGCTGTGGCTTATTAATCAGATTTATCCTGACGGTCCTGTCAGATTGGCACCATGTTGAAAGCATCTTCATTAGAGTGGATTTGAAGCTGGCTGTTTATTAATTCCCCTGTTGTTTCAACTATCATCTATTAAAACCTGGATATTAAGGCACAAAAGCATTAAAAATCTGGATATTAACACATAAAACTGTAAATTACCTGGATAAGAAAGTACAAAACTGTTAAAAACCTGGATAATAAAGCACAAAAGCATTACAATACTGGGGATATTAACACACAAAACTGTTCGAAACCTGTATAACAGGACACAAAAAAGTCTGTAACCTGGATATTGACGCACAACAGTTTTAGTAACCTGGATAGTAATGTAAATTAATGCACAAAACTGTTAGAAACCAGGATACTTATACACAAAACTGTCAATAACCTAAGTAATAACTCATAAAAATGTCAAAAACCAAGATATTAAGACACAAAACTGTTAAAAATCTGCACATTTATGCACAAAAGTGTCCATAACTTGGATAACAATGCACAAAACTATTGAAAACCTACATATTGACACACGAAACTGTCAATAACCTAAATATTAATGCACAAAAGTGTCAAAAACCTCAGCATTAGCACTCAAAACTTAGAAAAAGCTGGTTATTAACGCACAAAAATCTAAAAAACATGCATATTTCTGAACAAAACCACTAAACAATAGCTAAACAAATAACCAATGCCAGATTTTGAGATCATGGTTCACACTCCAGACTCTCTCAGCTGTAACAAGTGTCGTGCAGATTAGACGCCACTTTGCAAATGAGTTTTAAGCAACTCTGGAACATTTCCCTGCATCCCCTGGAAACTGCTGAATTACTCCCCGGGGTGCAGCCGCCTCTGCACGGGAATCCTGGTTTACAGCATCGGAGCAGTTGTGAAATCCGGGGCAAAGACAATGAGCTCTGGTTTGGAGAGAGGCTTTAATTCAATCTACTGAGCCTTGCTGGGGGTCTGGAGGCAAAGCGACTGCCTGAGCGACATAATTACGGCTTTGTCCTCCATCAGAGCTGCTCTCAGCGACGCTGAATAACGCTAGAGATACAGATTTATGTGTCAGACACATGGACAGGCGTATCAGAAACATCTAGACCACCTCCACGTATTCACGCGTTGTCATGGACGCTCAGCATCAGCATCAGATAGCAAACACACACACACACACATGCGCACAAGCCGACAACACCCACATCTTGTGCCGGTGGCAAAAACAAACAAGAGAAGTGGAGGAAAAAAAACAAAAAGTAAGATAATGACTGTGACCCCTCTGGTGAAATGTGGGATTCAGAAACATTTCCCTGATACTGCGCTGCTGTGTTGAGATGAAATACTGCAAAATATCAGCTATAATATACAAACGTTGGTTAATTATTGGGTTTAAAAGAGTGGAACAGCTTCTAAACACACAGCGACTGAGCATCTGGAACAACATACAAACATTCAAATACCTCAACTTGTAAACGGACACAGAAAAAAAAGTGTTTTAAAAATCTTAAAGAAAGGAAATGAACATCCTTTAAGGGAGATTTTTCTTTTTCTCTGAAGCTCCACAATATCTAATAAATAAATAAATAGCCTGTTAGTTTATACGGTTTTCTCAGTAAGTGAAGGTCAGCGTGTCACTGTTGTAGAAATGTTAAAATTATTTATATTATTTATTTATGATTGTAACTCAAGGAGTGTTTGGCAGTTTTTAAAAAAAGGAAAAAGAACTCGCTAATTATTTGTCTTGTTTATTTATTTAATTTATTATTTAATATATTTTATTTTACATTTTTATTTTGATTATATCCTTGTTTTATGGTTTTAGCCTCGATTGTTTTTTATTCTGTTTGTTTTTTTTCTTCATGTTTTTATTTCTTCATTTTGTCCCGTTTATTATTTATTTGTATCCATAAACGTTTGGTGCATTTATTTATTTCTCCATTTGTTATTTTTCTGATCTTTTTTCTTTCTGTTTGTCCTGAATGACCTTCTGTTATTTGATGGTCTTCGTGAGTACGTTTTTGTCTGAAACGAAAAGTGCTACATAAATAAAGTTATTATAATTTAATGTAATTCAATTTAATTTAATTCAATTTAATAATCTATTTTATTGAATCATCCATTTTCTTTAATTACATTTTGTCCTTTATTGTGATATGGTACTTTTGGTGCTTTTATGATTTTATTTGTAGCCATAGATGTTTTTGTATTGATTTATTTCTCCACTTTTTACTCCTCTGGTCTTTTTTTTTTTCTGTTTGACCTGATTGACCTTCTCTTGTTTAACAGTCATTCTAATTATCCCCCTATTTGTGCTTAAAAGCTGCTTTATAAATA